TTATTTGCCCTCCAACTTTTTTTTCCACCCCAGTCTTTGGGCAGCACTGGGTGAGCTGTCACTGCTGGGGGGTGTCCTGGGGGGTGTCCTGGGGGGTGTCCTGGGGGTGTCCTGGGGTGTCCTGCTGTCCCCGTGCCACCCTCACCGTGCCCCCACTGCAGGGCTGAGCTGCACTCCAGGCTCTGCCCGTGTCCCTCCAGGCTCTCTGCAGCCCAGCAGAGCTGCTGCTCCACCCCAGGCTCACGGAATTCACTCCCTGAGGTGGGAAAGCACCTCCAGGATTGTTGATTCCAAACTCTGACCCGTCCCCACTTCATCCCCCCGCCCAGAGCACTGAGTGCCACCTCCAGCCCTTCCTTGGACACCTCCAGGGCTGGGGACTCCAAACCTCCCTGGGCAACCCCTGGCAATGTTTAACAACCCTTTCCATGAAGAAATTCCTCCTTATGTCCAACCTGACCCTCTCCTGGCACAGCTGGAGGCCATTCCCTCTCCTCCTGTCCCTTGTTCCCTGGGAGCAGAGCCCGATCCCCTCTAGCTCATCCCTCCTGTCAGGGAGTTGTGGAGAGCAACAAGATCCTTCCTGAGCCTCCTTTTCTCCAGGCTGAGCCTCCCCAGCTCCCTCAACTGCTCCTCCCAGGACTCATTTTCCAGCCTCTTCCCCAATTCCACTGCTTTAAACTCCCTGCTGTGCCAAACCCCTTCATCTCCTGAGTGACACCTCTTGGTGCTGTCCCTGCAAAGGGCTCAAACCCTGACAGACAATTGTTCCCCAAGAGCACAAACCAGTTCCCCCCTCTCAACAGGACGTGAATCCTGCAGGTTCTCGTGGAGTTTTTCCACGGTGGCACGAAAATAATTGATGAGCTGGAGCTTACAAGGCAAATTTGGGCCCAACAAAGCTCGTTAGTCATTCAGCAATTACGCAGCTTTCACGTGAACAGCCTCTTACAGGAGAACTGGAGGCTTTCTTTGGTCACCCCTTATGGGTAATCAGCAAAAACTCAGTGTCAGGAAACCAAATATTCTCTCTGGTGACAAAGTTCCCTCACTGCTGACGTGAGGGCCAAGCAGTAAAGCTGCTGGAGTGCCAAGAACTAATTTTGGGGTTGAGGAGTGGTTCGGGCTATTTTTTATTTTGGTTTTATTTTGGCTGGTTTTGTTTTTTCCTCCCCCCAAAAAAGGTTAGTCATTTGGGCAGGTCAGCAGTGGCCAAAAAAGGAACCTGGTTCTTCCTTCAGGTCTCATCCCTGAGCACTCCTTGTTGTGTTCTGGGTGCAGGGAGAAGGGATGAGGGGGTCTGGAAGGGCATTTTCCCTGTTCCATCACAAGGTGCATCGATGTTTGAGCCTCAGTTTGCCCTGAGGAAGGCATGGGATGGACAGGAGGGGCTGGAACAGAGACCTTTCCCCTGGGGAGGTTGGGGTAGGAAGTGGAGCCCTGATTTTGGGGTCTGAGCGAGGAAGGGGCTGACAGCTGAAATGTCACCTTCCAGCAGAGACAGGTAAGGCTGAAAAACCCCAAAGATTTTAAAGCCAGATAGTCAAGTTACCTCTGAAAGGTCACTGCTGACTCTAGAGCTTTAGACTTGGCTTGAACAACTGTTGTCTGTGATCTGACTGGAAATGTTCCACCATCTCACAGTGCCATTACGACTGTAATGCTTGAACAAGAATGAAAAACACGTACAGGGCAATTTTGGGGGGAAAAAAAGAACCTAAAAAAAAACCCCAAACCCACCCAACGGTCCAAAAGAGAGAGAAAAATAAATAAATGAGCTGATAAACACCAGGTGGCAGGTACCAGCTGGGCCAACTGCCTGCACCCCCTTGGGTACCACCTGTGGGCTCGGTGGGGCCCTCAGAGGTCCCTTCTCTGTTCTCTGTGTGACACTGAGCTAAAAAATTCCAATTAATTGGCTGTTTAGGCCTTGCTGGTGGTTGTTGTTTGGTGCTGAGCTCCAAGGGAATGAGCCCTGGCACCACCACCCTGCCCTTGTCTCTTCTGTCTCTTTTAATTTAAAATTAAATCCCTTCATTTTAAACAGATGTGCTTGATAAAACTCCAGGTAGAGAGAGAAAAAATACTGTGGATAGAAAGAAAGGCTGGGAGAGCTGGGATTGTTCAGCCTGGAGAAGAGGAGCTTTGGGATGACCTGACCGTGGCCTTCCAGGACCTGAAGGGAGCTGACAGGAGAGAGAGACTGTTTCCAAGGGCCTGGAGTGGCAGGACAAGGGGGAATGGCTTCAAACTGACACAGAGGAGGTTTAGAATCATAGATTGGATATGAGGAAGAAATTCTTGGCTGTGAGGGTGGGGAGGGGCTGGCAGGGAATTCCCAGAGAAGCTGTGGCTGCCCCACACCTGGAAGTGTCCAAGGCCAGGTTGGAGCAACCTGGTCTGGTGGAAGGTGTCCCTGCCCATGGCAGGGGTGGAATGGGATGAGCTTTAAGGTCCCTTCCCACCCAAACCATGCTGTGTCTCTGTGCTCTACTGATGAAGATGAAGGTGGTGAGGCATCAAGAGAAAAGGTGTGGAGAGACTCGACCTTCTGCTACTCCCATTTTCCCCCACAAAACCCCATCCCACGGGAGCAACGGCTGTTCCCGTGGGTTATTCCAAAGTGTGCTGCTGCACAGGGCACCTCCAAACTTTCCCCTGGCTGCCCAAGCAGGGTGGTTATGCTGTTTGGGAAGAGGGATCCTGATTTAGGGGGCTGACCCACGACGGGGGGTTTCCCAGCCGGGCACCGGTGGCATCAGGTCCCTGTTCCCTGGCACGGGACAGGCTGTGCCCAGCCAGCAGCAGGGCTGTGTGGGAAGAGCAGGGGATCTCCTGGGTGGCAGAAGCACCAGGTAGGAGGCTTTTGGTTTCTGAAACATGAGAGTTGTCCTTCTCAGGGCGTCGTGTGGGAAAATGTGAGGGCAGAGCCCCGTGTCCCCCGCCAGCCTTGGATGGGAAGGTTTCTCTCAGCACATCAAAGGGCACAGGCAGCTCTGCAGCAGCAGTTTTAAAGCTGGAAGGGGGTGTTTGCATGTCAAATCTACCTGAGGGTTTGCAGCCCACGGCAGGAACACCAGGAAGCCATTCAGGGATCCTCCACCATCTGGTGGATCCCTGGATGGGCCAAAGACCAAGCAAAGGGTGTGTTGAGTGACTTATTCTTTGACTGATTTATTCTTTGACTGGTTTATTCTTTGGTTTATTCTTTGACTGGTTTATTCTTTGACTGGTTTATTCTTTGACTGGTTTATTCTTTGACTGGTTTATTCTTTGACTGGTTTATTCTTTGACTGGTTTATTCTTTGACTGGTTTATTCTTTGACTGGTTTATTCTTTGACTGGTTTATTCTTTGACTGGTTTATTCTTTGACTGGTTTATTCTTTGGTTTATTCTTTGGCTGATTTATTCTTTGACTGGTTTATTCTTTGACTGGTTTATTCTTTGACTGGTTTATTCTTTGAGATCCAGGAGTGAATCTTCAGGAAGAAAGTGCAGAGCACTCTGAAGGAAGAGCAGTGGTGCCTTGTGGGAAGTTAATTCAGGCTTCACTGGGTGTCTGTTTAACTCAGGAATTAGCAGGACAAGTGTCAGAAACTGCAGACTTGGCATTTTCCAGAGCTGCTCCTCCCAGCTCTGACTCTCCCGAGCCTTGAATCCATTACAAGGTGATTCTGCACCAGAATCCCCCTGCTCAGTTGGGAATGGGGTTGGATTTTAAACAGTCTTCACTGTGCACATGTAAAAGCAGCCCCAAGCCACGGGATTAAGAGCAAACCTGGGGAGCAGGAGAGGTAGGAGGGGATGGGGGGAAGCAAAGTGGGCACAGTTCCAGCAGAGATGGAAGCCTGTGTGTGTGTGTTTGTGTCAGAGCAGACTTTTGGGAACCGAAACCCAGAAGCAGGTGATGCTCCCAGGCAACAAGGCTGGGCTGGGGTACAATTCTGCTGAACAAGTGCCTTTTGCACCCCAATCCCAGGGGGGATAAATGGTCTCTGAAGAGCCCAGGGCAGCTCTTTCCAGCCTGGGTGCCAGGGCTGAGCTTGCAGGATTCGTTCTCTTGGTTTCGTGGCATCCACGTGGATCCACATCAGCTCTGGAAAATAAACTGGAGTCTCCTGATCCAAAGGGAAGAACAGTGAACAGAATGAGAAGGTCTGAGTGGATGGATGAATTTCCTGGACATTGAAATCTGATGGGTAAACCCTTGAAGGTTTCTAAATTTGTTAGGGACTTCAAGTTGAAGCTTGTTCTGTTGGAGAGAGTCCAGAGGAGGCACCAAGATGATCTGAGGGATGGAGGAAAGGCTGGGAGAGCTGGGATTGTTCAGCCTGGAGAAGAGGAGCTTTGGGGGGACCTGACTGTGACCCTCCAGTGCCTGAAGGGAGCTGACAGGAAAGAGAGACTGTTTCCAAGGGCCTGGAGTGGCAGGACAAGGGGGAATGGCTTCAAACTGACACAGAGGAGGTTTAGAATCATAGGTTGGATATTAGGAAGAAATTCTTGGCTGTGAGGGTGGGGAGGGGCTGGCAGGGAATTCCCAGAGAAGCTGTGGCTGGAAGTGTCCAAGTCCAGGTTGGATGGGACTTGGAGCAACCTGGTCTGGTGGAAGGTGTCCCTGCCCTTGGCAGGGGGTGGGACTGGATGAGCTTTAAGGTCCCTTCCCACCCAAACATTCCATGATTCCATGAATCAAACAGCCTGGCTGCGCTGAATCCACCCAACCACTTAATTTGCTTTAATTCCCAGTTGTCCATCCACCTGCAAACCCCTTGGAGGATCGTGCTGCACCTCACCCTTACCCTGCTGTTCTCTCCCCGCAGTCACTGCTGTCAGATTTGGTGACGTGCCCGAAATCACTTCCCCGCCCCTCCAAAAGCAGGAAGAGCGAGGCCACAAAAAGCCCAGCACCTGCCCCAGAGCCAGGGGAAGGAGCCCTGGGGCAGGACAGCCCTGCCACAGCCCACCCTGCCCTGCTTTTGGGTTGTCTGCTCCAGACATGACCCTCAAATCTGGGCCCCTCAGGGCTCGGGCTCTGCTGCTGCTGTGCCTGGAGCTCTGGGCACAGCAAAGCCTGGCACTGCAGTGCCAACCTGGGGAGAGGAAAATCACCAGCAAAGATGCAGAGAAATGCTGCCCCAAATGCATCCTGATGGAAGGTAAGGGAATCTTCGTGTCTGCCAGGGGAGGTTTGTTTGGCCGAGCGTGTCTCGAGGAGCTGGAGGTGCAGAGAGAGGTGGGAAGAGTTTCCTCTGAGCCCTAAATTCAGGAGGTGCCTTGGATCCTCCAAGGGGAAGTGGAGGGGCAGCTCTGCTGACCAGAGACAGGACTCAGGGAACAGCTGGAGCTGTGCCAGGGGAGGTTTAGGTTGGATCTCAGGAAAAGGTCCTTCCCCCAGAGGGTGGTTGGCACTGCCCAGGCTCCCCAGGGCAGTGGGCACTCACCTGTGCCCATCCCAGAACGCACACACAAGGTGATCATCAGTTCTAGCCTGTGTTCCTGCCTGATCTCAGGGTGGTGGTGAGGTGGTGCTGGATTTAGGTTGGATATTAAGAAGAAACCCTTCCCTGGGAGGGTGGGCAGGCCCTGGCACAGGTTTGCCCAGAGAAGCTGTGGCTGCCCCATCCCTGGGAGTGTCCAAGGCCAGGTTGGAGCAACCTGGGACAGTGGAAGGTGTCCCTGCCCGTGGCAGGGGGTGGAACAAGACGATTTTTACAATCCCACCCGACCCAACCCATCGTGTGGTCCATGATTGTAACTCCCCTGTCATTTTAAGTCAAACTGAGGCAGCAGAGGTGGGAGGGGGCAGCTGCAGGACTGCCCAGGGCACAACCTGTGTCTGAGAGGCTGCAGGACAGAGCAGAGGATTCTCATTCCCCCTTCCATGGTCCCAGGACCAACCATTCTGTCTTTAGTGCAGCCAGAGCTGAGCAGGGGGGGATTTTCAGCCAGAAGCCTCCCCAGGCTGTTGGCACTCACTCCACACCTCCTGGAGCTCTGAAGGTCAGGGAGAGGAGGGCAGTTGGCACAGGAGGGTGTGGGCATTCCCCTGGTGATCCTGTACATTCCACCACCAACCTCAGGAGATGATCTTTGCCGCTCTCTGTGGGTTTTTAATCACACCACTGACCCAGCCAGCATTTCCATGCAGGTTTTTTTTTCCTTTAACAGTTACTCAGCTTCAGGATTGAGCAGATCTTTCCTTCCTAACCTTTTCTTCTTAACCTTTTCTTCTTCATCTTTTCCCTGCTGCCTCAGGGGCTTGGTGCTGTTCACTGATGGGCTCGGGAGACATGAGCAACCCTTTGCTTTCATGAACCCTCAGAACTAGAGGGGATATTTTCTCAGGGCAAGCAAAGTTCGTGACAAAACTCCTCTGGAAACAGAAGGATGGAGGGTGGGAAAGGTGCTGGTTTAATGGCTTGGGTTTAGACCCAGCTTTGGCAACAGGTATAAAAATGTGAGTGGTGCTGCTTTGGGGCACTCCAAACGTCCCCCAGCGTGTTGGCAGTGACATCTTCTGGCATCCAGCTCTTCCAGGAAGGGATTATTCCCAGCGATGGGAATTTGTGGGCTCTGTGGAGAGGCAAATCTAAACTCTTTCTTTCTGGCAGGAGGCAACAACCTGTGCCAGGGAATGGAGGACCATGACTGCAAATGCCCCCAGGGCCACAGCTGTGGGGATAACAACTGTCTGTACTGCAGGAAGCTGCCAGAGTGTGCTGAGGGACACGAGCTCACCAGGATTGGTAACTAAACCAACACCAAACTCACTCCAAGAGTCTGCCCAAGCCTTGGAGTGTCACTGCCCTGCCCACTTCCTTATGTAGAATATATATATAATGTGCTAGAATATATATATTATATGCCTTGTTATGCTTTTAATATAATTAATATAATTAATATAATATATGAAATATAATAAATATTATATATAATATATAAAGTATATATTATATAAAATATATAATAAATATATATAATGTAATATAATATATATAATGTAATATATTATTTTATATATAATATATATTATATAATATATAATATTATATATAATATATAATATATAAATAATATGCTAGAATATATATATGCTAGAATATCTATATTATATGCCTTGTTATGCTTTTAATATAATATATAATATATAATATATAATATATAATAAATATTATATATAATATACAAATATATATTATACAAATATATATTATATAAAAATATATATTATAAATATAAATAATATATAATATATAATATGTATCATCTATAAAATAATATATAATATTCTTTATATAAATATATATGTAAAAATATATAAGACATATATTTTATATATAAATATATAAAATATATATAAATAGATTATAAATTTTATTTATAGATTTATTGACATATATTTACTTATATATTTATATATTATAATATAATATATAAAACACAATATATAATAAAATATATATTATACATTTTATAAAATATGTATATTATAAATATAAAATATAAATTGATATAAAATATATAATAAATTTTAGATATATTATACAGAATATAATATTATATATAATATCATAGATAATATATAGTTATAAATAATTTTTATAGATATATAAAAATATAATATAATGTATCATAAATAAAATATAATACATATTTATATGTAGATAATATTCCTTAATATGCTTATTAATATGCTCCCTTGCTTTTAGGGAGGCTCGGGGAGAAACGTGGCCTCTGTGCCAAACCCCCTCCCTTCCCTGTTTTATAGCCAACCTTCCCCTTCCTGACTGGGAGCCTTTCCCTGGGGTGCTCACACTTCCAGGGGCACTTTCCCTGCTGGAACAGCCCATTGGATCCTGGTTTAGTCCCTGTGGGCTCCCAAGTGCCCTCCTGTGCTGGCAGAGCAGCCCCTGCCCCTCTGCCCCCCTGTGCTGGCCCAGCAGCCCCTGCCCCTCTGCCCCCCTGTGCTGGCAGAGCAGCCCCTGCCCCTCTGCCCCCCTGTGCTGGCAGAGCAGCCCCTGCCCCTCTGCCCCCCTGTGCTGGCCCAGCAGCCCCTGCCCCTCTGCCCCCCTGTGCTGGCAGAGCAGCCCCTGCCCTCTGAGCCTCCCCGGGGGCTGCTCCATCCCTGCAGGGAATTCCCGCTGCTCTAATCCCCCCTTTCCGTGCGGGATCCGAGCACCGACCCTTCCCCTTCTCTCTTCCTGCAGGAGACACAGATTTCACATTCCAGTGTAAACCCTGCGAGACCGGAACTTATTCCAGTGTGAAGAATGGCTGGTGCAGGAACTGGACTGAGTATGGATTTATTGACATTGCCCTGCTCGGAAAATAGGCATTAGAATAATCATAATAATCATCATTACTAGATAATATTATACACTAATTAATATTAATTATTATTTAGATCATTATATTATTAATATTATCTTATTATTTAAATATAATCTTAACAGTATTAATATTAAATTACTATATAATATTATACATAATATATATACTATATATATTAAATATATAATTATATATAATATTTAATGTATATATTATATATATTTTATATATATAATATTATATATAATATATATTAATATATATTATAATATATAATAATATATATTATATATAATATGTATTATTATTATATAATATTATATAGTAATTTAATATTAATTATTATTTAGATTATTGTTATATTATTATATTATTATTTAAATATCATCTTACTATTATTAATATTAAATTAATAATCTGAAATAGTTATTATTACTTAATAATGCTAATTATTATTAATGGCTATACATTAATGTTTTAATAATTATCTAATTACTTAAAATAATATTAAAATATCAATTTAATTAATATCTAAATAATATTAGTATTATTAATATATTAAAAGTAACATTAAATAATATTTAAATAATATTAATATTATTTATATATTTAAATTAATATTAATTACCATTTAAATACTCAAAATAATTTTTAATTATTATTAATTATGAATTAACATTTTAAAAGGAATTAAAATATTTAATGCTGACGTTGCAAAACAAAACCCAATCAAAGACAAGATCACCAATGCGATTAACTGATGAGCTTTTTAAATTAATCCAGATGTGTCTCTTTAGGCTTTTTAGTCAGTCTCAAACCAGAACTTAAGACAAACTGCTGGGTTTTCAACTTGCTTCCAAGTCAAGCTCAGACTGATGGAAAAATTATTCCAAACATGGACATTATTCCAAACTGGAAACAAAGAGAGTAAAGAAAATGGGAATATAAAGCAGTTGTGACGTGGGGGAACAGCAACAACTCCACCTGCACTGCTGTAAAAGGGGATGAAAGGAAACAAGCTGTGGGAGGAGGGAGGGGAAGGAAAAAGGGGAGCCAAGAGAGGAAGGAAGGGAAAACAGGGATCAGGGAAAACAGGGATATTCCAAATGTGCCTCTTGCTCTTCTTGCAGCTGCGAGAGCTCGGGGTTTGTGACCCTCAGCCGAGGCAACAGCACCCACAACTCCAAGTGTGGCGTCCCTGCTTCTCCCAAAGACGTGGAGCAAGGTACCTTCTCCCAAAGATCTGCTCCTTTGGCAATTCCCCGGGGGCTCCTCCTCCCCCGGAACGTGCTGCCATGGAAGCTGGCTTTGGGAATTCCAGCCGTGTTCCCTGCGAGTTTAATCATGGAATTGTTGACCTGGGCAAAGATCCAAAGCTCTGCCAGTGGCCCAGGTAGAGGAGAGCCCAGTTGTCCCTGGGCAGAGCACATTTATTTGAGTTTTCCACCGGAATGCTCCGGCTGTTTTGCCGGGGTTTCTCGGGAAAACAATGGCTTGGTTCCCTGACAAGTGTTGGCTGAGCCCAGGGCGCCCAGCCCTGGAATTCCATGTCTTACCATGGATCAAATGACAGGGTTTGGGGGTCCTGAGGACGCTCCTCTGCTCCTGCCCTTTCCCACCCCCTTGGCCCTCCAGGGAATTGCTGCCTCTCAGATCCGGGCCCGTTATCCAAAAATGTTCTCAGTTCTGCTGAGAAAAACTGCAAAAAAGGTGCTGCTTTCAGCTCCTGGGAGGCAAACACAGGGCTGAAAATCTGGCTTGTTGAGGTGCTGGGCAGAAAACACTGAACCCCAATCCTTCCAAAAAACCAGAGGAGACAGAACAAGTGGGAGAGACCTTGAACAAGGAAGAGATGGGAAGGGGGGGTTTGCAGGAATGGTTCTCACAGACAGTGATCCCTGGGGGGCTCTCCCAACTCAGCATAATCTGCCTTCTATTTCTAATTTCTATTTCTTATTTCTAATTTCTGTTTCTATTTCTATTTTTGTTTCTGTTTCTATTTCTATTTGTATTTCTATTTCTGTTTCTATTTCTGTTTATATTTCTATTTCTGTTTATATTTCTATTTCTGTTTCTATTTCCATTTCTATTTCCATTTCATTATCTATTTCCCTTTCCCTTTCCCTTCCCCTTTCCCTTTCCCTTTTTTTTAACTTCCTTTTCTTTTTTCACTCCCTTTCCTGATTTCTTTCCCTTTTCCTTTTCCCCCTTTTATTTCTCCCTTTCTCCCTTCCTTTATTATCCCACAGCTCCACCACACCCTTGACTTGGAACTCGCCCTCTTTCCTCAGGAACTCATTTTCCCCCGAAAAACTAAATTAACACCTAAACTTCCTTAAAATATCTCTCCTTTAACAACAGTCTGGGCACGTAATTCCTTAATTCTGATTAAATCTCTTGAATTGCAGCTCTCCTGCCCTCCAGCTCCCTGTCCACCACCATCCTGGCCATCCTGACGGCCGTGGCCGTGTTCGTGCTCATCCTGCTCACCTTCCTCCTGCACTTCTGCATCTGGACCCTGAAGGACAAATATTTCGCAGCTGAGGGTAAGGACACCCTCGGGGGCTCTCCAGGAGGCCGAGTGGGATAAATGAAGCTGGAATAAATGGAATTCATAGGGATTTACTGAGCGGTTTGGGGCAGGTCACGCCACAGAATAGCTGGGGTGGGAAAGGGATCATCCCTTCCAACCCCATTGACAGAAGGCAGGGTGAGATGGGATTTTGGGACAAGAATCCTTCCCTGGGAGGGTGATGAAGCCCTGGAATGGATTGCCCAGGGGATTCCCCAGCCCTGGAAGTGTCCAAGGCCAGCTTGGAGCAACCTGCTCTAAGGGAAGGCACAGAGTGGGTTTGAAATCCCTTCCAACCCCATTGACAGAAGGCAGGGTGAGATGGGATATGGGGAAAAAAATCCTTCCCTGGGAGGGTGGTGAGCCTCTGGAATGGATTCCCTATCCCTGGAAGTGTCCAAGGCCAGCTTGGAGCAACCTGCTCTAAGGGAAGGCGTGGAGCAGGTTTAAAATCCCTTCCAACCCCACTGACAGAGGGCAGGGTGAGATGGGATATCAGGAAATAAATCCTTCCCTGGGAGGGTGGTGAGGCCCTGGAATGGATTCCCTATCCCTGGAAGTGTCCAAGGCCAGCTTGGAGCAACCTGCTCTAAGGGAAGGCGCGGGGCGGGTTTAACACCCCTTCCAACCCAACCCGTGCCACAATCCCACCACTTCCATCCTTCCCTCTTTTTGGGAAGGTCTTTGGGCCCCCCGAGGTGTGTGGAGACCCTCGTGGGTGCAGTTGCTGTCCTTGTTCTCACTGCAGACGTGGACCATCACTTCCCTAGGCCGCCGGCGGCTCCGCAGCTCCCGGAGACCTCCAGCATCCAGTTCCCCGAGGAAGAGCACGGGGGAAAGACGGCCGAGGAAAAGCTTTCCATGCTGTCCCTCAAAGTCTCCAACGAGCTCTCCAACAGATAAACTGCCCTGGGGCGCCGTGGGAACGGGGAGCTGAGCTTTCCCAAAGGAACAGGAGGAAGGGGATGGGCTGTGAAGCATCGGGAGACCCGCGGCGAGGAGGAGGAGGAGGAGGAGGAGGAGGAGGAAGAGCGGCTTTTTGGGGCATTTTGGGGCTTTGCTCTCAACAAACCTGGCTTTGGGAAATGAAAATCCTGCTGATTCAGGCTGGCATTCATTCCTGAGGGCGCTCTCCCAGCTTTTCCCTTTTCCAGAGTGATGCCCACAGTAAGGGAATAGGGCACAGGGAGAAGGAATGTTCTTATTCCCTCATTTCTCCCCGAGCTGCTTTTCCCTCCTGCCAACCCGCCCTCCTGGTGTTCCTCTGCCCCCATTCCATCCTCTCCTCTGCCATCCCAGCACAAGGTGCTGCTCAGGCCCAGTTCTCAGGGCACACAGGTTCCCTTGGGAAGCCACAGAATTTGCAGGGAAACCAGGGATTAAAAAAAAAAAAAAAAGGGAGTAATTCTTGTTGTCCTGTCCCTCAGCAATCCCTGTGCCTGGAATATTGGCTCCCAAAAGGGACACTTCCCAACACCTCAAATGAGGACCAACCTGCCTAGAGGAAGACATTGGCTTGAATGAGTTTATAGAGCAGGAAAAGACAGTGGAAAACAGGGAAAAGCCCAACACTGATGGTTTTTTTCCCCCCTGCCCCTGAAGAAAAAGAACAAAAGCTTTTTTTTTTTAATGTTAGATTAGTGCTCCTCCAGTTTCCCAGAGCTGGAAATGAATTATTCTGCCCGAATTTCAAGGGGCAGCTGGACTTGGCTGCTTTCTGACACTGATTTCAAACAAGGCTCTACCCTTTGGCTTCAAATAGTTGAGTCTTTTATAAATACAATTCTTTTTTGTGCTGTGTGACTGCATTCAAAGCTCTTTTTGCCTTCTGGTGGAAGCTGCTTGGGGGTGGACACTCCTGACAGAATCAGCTCGAGGCAAAAACGACTCTTTTGAGTTTCAAAAGTGACTTTTCACTTGCCAAAATAACTTTTCAACCTCCACAGAGGGGGTGTAAATCCTTCCCAGCATCAGCTCCCTCCTCAGAGATCCCAGAAACAGGATTTAATTCTAAATTAAACCCTGCCAGATAACGGAGTTGGTGTTAATCACCCCAGAGGGGATTATTCCAAGCAGGAACGACAGGCAGAGAATCCTAAAACCTGGGCCAGGTTGTTATTCCAGCGAGCCCAGAGGGACTGGATCACTCTTGGATCCATGGAATTATGGACCAGTTTGGGTTGGAAGGGACCTGAAAAATCATCTCATTCCACTGAGGTGACTCAGGGAATCCAGTCCACAACTCATTTATGGCAGAGAGGAAGAGCTAATTAGTTAAAATTCAGCTTGTCCATCGTGATCCTGAGGAATTCCCGGCTCTCCAACATTCCTGCACTGCCACATCTCCTTGGATTCTTTAGGAATCTCATCCTGCCTCCCAGCTCTTTCCAGACACTCTCAGCTGGCCTTTCCTGACCCTTCCCCCGAGGAGGTCTTGGAAATCCTGAATAAAAGATTAATTTTATTCCTCATGGGCATGGTTTTATTGCTGAATATTCCATTGCTGAATATTCCATTGCTGAATATTCCCTTATTGCTGAATATTCCCTTATTGCTGAATATTCCATTGCTGAATATTCCCTTATTACTGAATATTCCCTTATTGCTGAATATTCCATTGCTGAATATTCCCTTATTGCTGAATATTCCCTTATTGCTGAATATTCCCTTATTGCTGAATATTCCATTGCTGAATCTTTTCTTTATTGAATTTTCAACCGAATTCTTTCGTTGTTGAATTTGACACTCAATTCTTTTATCACTGAATTTTCAACCCAATTCTTTTTTTTAATTGAATTTGCAACCAAATCCTTTTGTCACTGAATTTGATACCGAATCCTTTTGTCATTGAATTTTCAATCCAATCCTTTTGTCACTGAATTTTCAACTAAATTTTTTTCTTATTGAATTTTCAACCCAATTCCTTTTTTATTGAATTTTCAACCCAATTCTTCTGTCATTGAATTTTCAACCAAATTCTTTTTTTTATCGAATTTCCAACCAAATCCCTTTGTCACTGAATTTGCAACCAAATTGTTTTTTTACTGAATTTTCAACCCAATCCTTTTGTCACTGAATTTGACACTGAATCTTTTTTTTTTTTATCGAATTTGCAACCAAATTCTTCTGTCACCGAATTCTTTTGTCACCGAATTCTTTTGTCACCGAATTCTTTTGTCACCGAATTTTCACCGCAGCCCTTTTGTCACCGAACGTGCCTCTCAACACTTGCACTTCTTTTTTCCCTTCCTGCCTCCTCCTCTCTCATTTCCTGCCCGTTCCCTCCCCCGGCTTTTCAGCAGGAAACTGCGGCCGACAAAGTGTTTCCTGCAGAGAAACAGCAAATTTTGGGTTAAGAAACCCTCCAAGGGCGTGAGGAATAAATTCTGAGTGCCCGGGGGAAGCCTGGCTGAGGTTCACGAGGCTTTTTGGGGGCGTTGAGGGGTCAGTGAACACTGAAACAGGCTGAGCTGGGCCTGATTATTCCATGGAAATTCAGATTTTTCCCGCCCTACCTGGAAGAGCAGTTCCACTTTCTGCCTGCCCAACCACCTGGCTCTTTGATGGGAAAACCAACCCCTTTTCCTGGCTGCTTAAAACCCCAATTCTGAGGGAAAAGGAAAGCTCCTGGCTCAGAACTGAGAGCTTGGAAAGAGCGTTTCAGTTTCCAGCAGAAAGAACAATATTTATTGTGCCCTTGCCCAGACGTTTGACTCAGATGGTGGCTGAATTTTTAGCTCCAATCGCAGTTTAGGGGGGTTTTGTGGTGGTTGGAGACCCCCAAAAATCCCATTTCCAAGTCCAAGCCCCCCTCCCACAACTCACCCCAGCGGGAGAGGGGCTTTCCAGGCACAACACAAGACTCAATATGGGGGAAAAGGGAATTATATTTCAATTATTCCCCAAATCATCTCACCTCTAGGCCCTCCGGCTCCCGGGGGGGGGCAATTTCAAACCAAGACAAGTTTTAAAGTCCTGGTTTAAACTGCGGGTCGATCTGGGCTGGAGGGTAAAATAAAAAGGGTTCTCTCTCAAATTGTTGACATTCAGAGAAATGCCTAAAAAACTTTTGGTTTTCTCAAATCTCTTTTCAAAGGAGAAAACAAAATCTCCCCGAAAAACACCCCGAAGGTTTTAGAGGCGAAGCAAAAGTTAGAAACGGAGGGAATTAAGAAATTCGACATTTCATTCAACTTAATTGCCTAAACAATTGTTTAACGTTTTAAAGAGTTAAAGAGTTTGACGTTTTGAAGAGTTTAAACGTGATCTGGAGAATCCCTGAGGCTGGAAAAGCCCTCCAAGATCGAGTCCAACCATTAATCTCACCACCCAAGTGCCCCATCCAGGTGTTTTTGGAAGCCCCCCGTGTCCAACACATCGATATTTTTTCCCCTTCTTTTTCCCCTTGGAGAGGAAAAACCCGCTTTGCAGGCGCCAACAGAGGGCACCGACGTTCCACACGTTTTTCTCGGCGAGCTCCTTCTTCTCCCTAAAATGTTCTTTTTTTCCTCTTCAAAGCTCGCCCCCGAACCTTCCGTGTGCAGGAAATGCAGGACTGAGCCAGGGCTTTGTTCTGCTGCTGAGGGAAAGGGAAAAAAAAGAGAAACAACCCACCTTTAGTTCATTTAATTGTCTTTTAGTTCATGGAATTGGGTGAGTCTTTGCTGGAGCTCACGGAGGGGGGAACTAAACATCCCACTGGGGTCACAGGGAAGGGGTAACTTGAATTAAAAGTAACTTGAATTAAAAGTAACTTGTACTAAAAGTAACTTGAATTAAATCCCATTCAAGTTACTGTGCAATAGTTAGAAAAAATGGCCCAACTTTTTCTTAAACTCTGCAGCCCAAATGTTTCCTGTGTTCAAGTGGCCAGTTTTCTACAATCCAGGTAAGTGTGCACCTTTTCCAGTTTATTGTGGTCTCATTTTGTGTAGCTTCACATTTCCACTATAAACATACTTTTTTTTTTTGTCTCCTAGGCTGTTGATCAGCTTCCACACTTTTACAAGTTGATGAGGATTTTTGGGGAGTTTGTTTTTGGCTTCTTCGGTTGTTTTGCTTTTGTGGGTTTTTTTTCTTTTTTGTGGTGGTAAATTAAATGCATTCAGATCTCTGTCTTTCATGGAAATTCCTGGTTCCCAGGACAATTCCCGATGAAACCTGAGCAGCCCCAGCTCCCGAAGGACAATTCCCGGTGAAACCTGAGCAGCCCCAGCTCCCGAAGGACAATTCCCGGTGAAACCTGAGCAGCCCCAGCTCCCGTGGCTGTGCCACCGACTCTCCCCCGGTGCCCTCCCGCACAAAGGGACCCATTGTTGGGTGCCCTGCCCGCTCCTGCTGCGCTAATTCCACCCTTTCACGGGCTTGGCTCTTCCCACTGCCCTTTGCCGGGATGCGTCTGAGCTCCTTTTCACCACCAGAATCTGCCGGGTGGTTTTTTGGGAAGGTCTGGGCTCTCGCAGCACCTCAATCGCTGCATTTAACGCTTCCCTTTCCTCGGGTAACCCCTTGCCCGGGGTCGATTCACCCTTTGCAAGCTCGAGGTGTAATTTGAGCAGGTTTTTGAGGCTCTGTGGGAGGAGCTGCTGCTAAATGGTCAACCTGGAGATGCTGCTTCTGACACTGGGTGGATAATTATTGATAACTCAGAGTGGTGAAGGCAAGTTCTTCCTTGCCGTGGATGGATATTTAACTGGTGGAAATCGGTGTATTCCCTGTGGTGTCAGAGGCATCACACACTGGTTTAAAGCCAGGGATCATCTGGGATGTGGATCAGGGCTGGAGCCCCTCTGCTCTGGAGCCAGGCTGGGAGAGCTGGGGGGGTTCACCTGGAGAAGAGAAGCTCTAGGGACACCTTAGAGCCCCTTTCCAGTGCCTAAAGGGGCTCCAGGAGAGCTGGAGAGGGACTTTGGGACAAGGAATGGAGGGACAGGACACAGGGAATGGCTTCCCAGTGCCAGAGGGCAGGTTTGGATTGGATATCAGGCAAAAATTCTCCACTGTGAGAGTTTTGGCGAGTTCCAGCAACTCGCAGCAGGTGCTGCTGTTTCCCTCAGTTTGGAGTGGAAATGCACGACAAGAGAGGCCAAAAA